CATCTAGGTTTGTGATCAGGAACAATGGTTTTCATAAAAGAAATAAATGGCTTTTAATTAATATCCTATCAGTACTAAATTTTGGTCTGAACTAACAAAGCTTATAAATCACTTTATTCCATGTTTTCTTGTCAAATCAAGATGAAGCATTTTTATATCAGTGCTACCAACTGATTTTTTTTTTATCTATTTACATATGTCACATGGCACTGTCATTGTCGGGTCCCAAAGTTTCAGAAGCGAAAAGTGGAGGGTTGTGTTAGATAATCGATAGCCAACATAAAATTTTTGTCAAAATATTATGACATAAATCATTTAAATCCTTATGTAAATCCTATGGCGTCCGCTGGAAGCGACGCACTGTATGACCTGGATACAATGTAAAGTGTGCAAGAGCCGCTACACCGCCACCCTAGTGTAGTGTCAAATAAGCAAGGATATTCACATTATGGACTGATGCGAGCAAAGAAGTTAATCCATTAAACTAATATTAGGATATGATCTTGGAACATAGGTACTCTCACATGTAAATTAATATAATTAGTAGATATTATAGTTCATATGAGGATAAACACCCTATGTATTCAAGAAACTAAATGAGTTGGAGAAAATGTTAAGAAGATTGATAACTTAGGTTTTAAATTTTGGTATTCAGGTAAGATTCGCACTAGGAACGATGTAAGTGTAATTATATATCAATGTTTGAAACATAATGTTGTAAATTTAATTAAATGGAGATGAAATTATAACCCTAAAGATTGTTGTTGATACTAAGATTTTTAATGTTATAAATGCATATACTCCTCAAGTAGCTTTATATAAAGGTTCAAAAGAAAAATTCTGGAATGAACTATAAGAATTAAGGCAAATGATACCTCTTGAAGAAAAAAAAATTTATTGGAGGAGATTTAAATAGAGATATTGGTAGAGTGACAGAAGATTTTAGAAATATTCATGATGGCTACAGTTTTGGAGTGATTAATGAAGAAGGGAGAACCATATTAGATTTTGTTTTAGCGTATGATCTTGTTATTGCTAATACTTTATTTAAGAAAAGATACGGGTATATTATTACTTATAGGAACGAATATAATAAAATATATATTAATTATTTTCTTATGAGAAAAAAAGATCCTCGAGAATATAAAGACTATAAGTTCATTACAAGTGAAATTTTATTACTCAACATCAATTATTAGTTTTGGATTTTAAAATAAGGATTTGTAAGATAAAAAATACAATGAAACATTACTATTGAATTAAATAGTAGCATCTTAAAGACAAATAAAAAATTTGTTATGAGTACACTTTAAGATTTCAAGAATTGGAATGTTCATGAAGAAGCTAATTATGTGTGGAATAAATTAACAATCACTATTAACAAATGACAAAAGATGTACTTGGAGAATCAAAAGGAAATAATTTTATAAATAAAAATACTTGGTGGTAGAATAATAATATGCAAGAAAAGATAAAATAAAAGAAATGAAATTATGTTATCAAGAAAAGATAAAATAAAAGAAATTATGTTATATAAATTGGTTTAGATGTAAAAGCATAGAGATCTGAGAAAAATATAATGTGGCCTATAAGTAGTCTAAGTGAATAATTTGTGACCCTAAAAATTCTGCTTTTAATGACTTTTATGATAGATTAGATGCTTAACAAAAATTAAAAAATATAGGTATAAACTTGTCAAATAAAAAGAAAAAAAATTAAAGATTTAATTCAAATAAAGTGTATTAAAGATGAAAATAAAAAAGTACTCTTCTTAAAGGAAGATATTCAACATAGGTGGGTAAGCTATTTTGATAAACTTTAAATGAAATTTCTAAAAAAACGATAAACCTTAATGATCTTAATATCATTAGTAAAAATAAAACGTTTTATTTTTACTATCGCATTAATAAAAAAAAGTTGAAGAGGCTTCAAAGAAAACTAATGGTGAAAAATCAGTAGATTATGATGATATCCCAATTAAAGTAAAAATATTTTGGAGATTTGAGAGTTTCATGGCTTACTAAACTTATTAATATTATTTTTAGAATTAAAAAAGATGTCTGAGGAGTGAATGAAGAGTATTTTAGTCCCCATTTTTAAGAATAAAAGCGATACACAAGAGTGCAAATTATAGAGGAATTAAGTTGATGTGTTATACTTTAAAATTATGGAAGAGTACTTGAACATAGGTTAAAGCATGAAACAAAAATTTCCCATAATCAATTTGGATTTATGTCGGGCAGGTTTACTATGGAAGTTATACATTTATTGAGAGGTTTGATGGATAAAAACAAAGAGAATAAGAAGGATCTACACATAATTATTATTGATTTAGAAAAACCTTATAATAAAATTCCAAGTCCTTTAAAGAGTTCTAGAGAAGAAAGGTATTGATATGACTTATATTCAAGCCATTAAAGATATGCATACTAGAGTTGTTACATGTGGGAGGATTGACCAAGTATTTTCCTATTTCAGTTAGATTACATAAGGAATCGACTTTAAACTCATATCCCTTTGCTTTAATTATGGATGTTCTTACTGGTCATTTACAGGAGGATGTAACTTGGTGTATGCTTTACGTTGATGATATCCTACCTGTGGATAAGACTGGAGAAAGAGTTCAAAAAAAAAAACATGAATTATAGAAGTCTAAATTGGAGTCTAAAGACATTTGTTTGAGTAGATATAAAGTTGAATACATAGAATGTAATTTTAGTAGTAGTAGCTCTAGTGACAGAATTGTAACTATGAATAATCAAATCATTAAAATGTGGAATATTTTAGATACCTTGGGTCTATTGTTCAAAGTGATGGTGATATAGATGGGGTTCTTATTAGTAGAATTCAAGTTGGATGGTTGAAGTCGATGAATTCATCGGGCCTATTATACTATAGAAAAGTATCGCTTAGGGCTTAAAAGGAAAATTTTATAAGATGGTGGTCAGACATGCAAAGCTCTAAGCATAAAACTAAGTTTAAGTGTTGTCGAAATGAGAATGCTTAGGTGGATGAGTGGCTTGACACTTAAAGACAAAATGTGAAATGAATATATTGATATGGTTGGTGTAGCTCCAGTGGCAGGCAAGATTAGAGAGTCGTATTAGATGATTTGGTCACATTAAACATCGACCAACTGATGATCTGGTTAGAAGAGTAGATATTTCAGATTCGACTTATGTTAAGAAAGACAAACGTAGGCCTAAAAAAACTTGAGCATATTGCATAAAAAATGATCTTAATCTATTAGAATTAAATGAAAATATGACACTCAATAAGACACAATGGAGATAAAGAATTCATGTAGCGGATCCCAATTAGTGGGATAAAGGCTTATTGTTGTTGTTGTTGTTGTATTTACAAATCTCACAACTAAACTTTCATATTTACACACATAGAACTCAAATATTTAATATCTATAGCAATATTACCACTTATTACAAGTGAAATGCACATTTTCATGTAAAGGCTTAAAACAACAAAGTGCTATGTATGTAAATATGAAATTTTAGGAGTGAGATATGTAAATACATAAAACTTATGGTCTACATATGTAAATTTCCCTTTTTTTAATAGCATGTAAAACACATTAGCAATTCATCATACATGAAGTGTGATTTGATTGAATGAATCCTAAGAGATTGAAGTAAGAAAATAAAATTGCAAGATAGAACTTAAAAAATTAGTAGAGCCTAACTACACATTAATGAAGCTATTTCAATGTTCGTTAGATAAGAAAAATGTTGCTAGAAAAGAAATAGCAGCAACAAAAAAAGCTATAATAATCAACAATGATTATGAACGCAAGTATTGAAATAATTACCACAACAAGTAAATTAATCCCCGAGTATAAAACCCGACATCACCAATCTAGATCAAACTCTAGATAAAAACTATTTACCTCAAGTGTTATTGAGAAATTTTTAAGCATATATTTCTTTATATGAAATTATCTCAATAAGTTTAAAAGTCATAGTTCAAAACTAATAAGAGTGCAACAAGATAAAGATAAAGATACTTTGAAATATACTGTTAACCATTTAAGTACAATGTTTTATTTAATTTCAATAAATAAAAATTAAAAACCTAGTTCCATAATCTAGTTAACAACATAATGATCATTTATATTTGATGCTACATGATAAATTAATTCTATTTTGCACAGCATATCACAAAATCTCTAATCATGATAGTAAATAATTTTTCTTTTCATATTCTTTCACATTAATTTTCGTGCCTTAACATTTTATCTTATATCCTTCACGACTCAAACCACCTTAACTAATTTTTCATTAACTTATCCACACTAAATATCACCCACAATCTTTCCAATATATAATCACAATTAACATTTATTAGTTATGTCACATATTTAGCCTAATATTGTCATGTATACCATACTTAGTTTGTTTCTTAGTTTCTTCTACTGTTGAACATTGAATCCATATAGCATAACTAAAGCAGCTGCAATTTCATACTTTCATTTCTATGTGATATCTGGCGACTGTCCTAAGGGGTCTACGGATTTCAATCACTCGACATTTAAGTTAGAACTTATACCTACACATATATCTCTATCCTTCAATATACTAATTCAATTATTCACTTAATCTTCTCTAAATAATAATAAATAAAAATCATATTTATTGCATCAAAATGGCCTATAATATACCCGACCAATAATCAAATAATTCAAAGTTCCTTATATCTTATTAAATTCCCACCATCCTCTAACTTTTCACTCGTTTTAGTAGATGCCTAAACCATAAAAACTATCATCTTCAGATATTATATATGATAGTATCTCATCTTGAAATTTTTTTATAAGCAACTTAATAATCAATACAAAGATATTAGATTTGTATATTGTGATAATAAAATGTTTAATAACTTCTTCACTCTTTCAGCCACTAAATAACTTCAACAACCAAGATTCTATAAAATGATTTTTGCAATATGACTGTAAAGTATGCTAATAACAAAAAAATAAACTATTATACCTCACGTGTTCGTGTGATGCATCCATCCGAGGGAATGATAGGTACTCTCTGGAAGAAAATTACACGGCCACAAAATGTGAGGAGATATAAAATTGTTCGAAATGCTTTACTTGGAATGATAAAAGAAAAACAAAGGGAAAAACAAAACTTACCTGGGGTTTCCATCCTAGCTCGTCAGGACATCGAAAAGAAGCTTCATTCACAGCTTGATTCTCAATAGCAAACCTAGTTGCACCACTATTAACTCCAAAATGAAGCTGAAGATTAACAAGTTAAGGGGGAAAAAAAAGAAAAAAGGTTTTAGTGAAAAGGAAGAAACAAAGCACCATAAATGACAACAATAATTTAAAACCATAAAACTCAAGCCAACAACATGGAATTCCTAAAACAAATAGACCCGAATATATTATCTCACCAAAAGTTTCAAGAAAACAAAAAATCTTAAATAACTATTGATATTAGTAGTTGCTACAAAAGGAAATACATGTAAGAGTTCTGCCTGCATACATTATTTAATTTGAAGAAAAACTGAAAATTGCCTAAATTGCTACTACAAACAAATAACAAAGAAATACAAGGATTTTGAATCATATAACTAACATAAAATCTATTAGCAAGGATCAAAAAATTAAAGCATGAAAGCTAATAACCCCATGGGACTTGATCTACTTGAGAGCTATCTAGCTTGAAATGATATCCCAAAACTTTTCATACAAAAATGTAAAAAAAAATTAAATATCTTTTGGCACCTACCCAAATTACACGGTCAAGACTAGACGAATTGTCATGACCGGATAGAGATGACTCCAATATTTTATAAAGAGAAGGAACAACTCCTTCTCCAGCAGACTCAAGAATACTGCAACTTCCAATAACTAAGCCTTTTGGCAACCCCTTCTTCTCCATGTATCCTTTCAGATTATTGACTATAGTTTCTGTCGGATTCTCTGAAACACCATGAAATTTCTTGAAGCCTGTGATATGAACTGTAACCACCGAAGGAGCTTCTGATCCCATTATGATGATCTGACGTTGGTTTATCCAATGAATTCCTAGTTATATGTGACCGATCTTCAGCTGCAGCAGCCAAACAAATATTTTTCCTCTGGCTTTTCTGTAACAAAGAAAAATACAACACCAGAAGAAATTGAGAGAAAGACTGCGTTGGGAGCAGAAATTATATGTCATGAAGAGATCAATAATTAGTTCAGGGTATATATGACAAACTTTAAAATCAGGATTGCGCAAAGCCATGAATCATAATAACATCTACTAAACCGAATATCACGCGCAAAATAATCTTTGTTTTTAGTATTAAACGTTCAGCTCAGTCATCTGAAGCACGATTGAAATTTCAACAATCATTCCGCAATAAGATAGACTAGCTCGCCCAAGATCCAATCAAAAGAAATCTGGAAAAAAGATAGAATCCATCAAGTCCATCAGCCTAAAACCTAGAATTGATTCTCAAACAAAACCCACCGAAACGATTAAAAAAAGCCAATAATTAGATTCAGAGAAAGCAATTCTCGCTAATAAATCGGAACTTAAAATCAATAAATGAAAAGCCATGAATCGAATCACAATTAGGCAGCAGCAGAAGCCAAGAAACATCAACCTTGACGAAAATCAATGGTAAGTTCTCACCTTTCACTCGCCAAATGAGCGAAGTGAAGAAGAAACCTTATAAAAATCAAACTTTTGTCATAATAGAGATTCCATGGACTTGTGGAGACAAATCAATGAGTCAATGGTGTAGGTTTCATTGCAATGACAGAGAAATGGTGGTTGAGTTACGGCCTTGTTGATGCGAAAATATAAAGGGAGTCCATGGATTGTTCCATGAAGGGTAAAAATCGCAAATTTAACTAGAATACGTCAGTATGGAACGATTTCTTCTATTATTTGGCCTATCTTTGTTGACTAAATAGCAAATATTTTATAGTTTGCCATTTAAGAACTATAGTTTTGATTGGAACTTTACAAAAGTGTGCGGGATACGTTACGACAACTAAGGCAGAAGGGGATGAATCTAATTTTTCTGTTCTTCATTTTGCATACTTATTGTCCATCTCACTCTATGGTGGAATAAGGCGGCCTTAGCTCCTCGTAAATATCGGGTAGAGTTATTTTGCTGTTATCGATAATATAAATTCTTGTTCTTGACTTATTATTATTATTATCATTATGAAATATATGAAAACTTCATCTAATATAAATTTAGATATGATTTAATATGTTCAAGTCTTTTTAAGTTTATCTTTATATTTCTTAACATAAGTCAAATCTAAAATATTTACTTTTCTAAGTGGATCATTAGTTTGGTCGATGATTAAATAACCAACCCATCTCAGATGGCTATCTAATCTTGTCTGCAGCTAGAGCTACACCAACCCTTTCACGGATAGATTTGCATTAAAAATAAATAAATAGAAATGATTATTTTGAAAGCATATTTTTTTATTCACGAGTAGTCAAACGAGGCCAAAGTGTCAATTTTTTGTTTTTTGAGAATGTCAAAGCAAATTTTATTTGTTTTATAAGAATTAAGCAAATGTTATGAGATGCATAAATTTTTATCTGATTTATGCTTCATTGATGAAGCATAAAATTTAACTTTGATAGGATATTTATATAAAACACAATAATTTCATTACACAAGATTGCTTCCACCTACATAAGAAGTTATCCATTGCATATTAGATCCAATGCAATTCAAAAAATGCATATATAAATACATAATTTTGAGGGCACTTTACATAAATTCAAAAAATGCACATATAAATCCATTTCATTTTTAATTTTGAGGGCATTTTACATAATATCATTTTATCTTTTTGGAGAGGTGTTTACATGGCGAGTAATGATTAAAATGGAACCCTGAGTTGAAGAAGTATAACCAATTGGAGTTTGGTGTCCATTTTTCAATAAAACTCTAAAATTATACCATTGTGATGTAAGTCTCAATGAGCTTCACCTTCATTGGCTTTTTGGCCCGACTTAGAATGGTCTCATTATGCATTAAGTTTTTGAGATATGTTATTTTATAATGGAGTAAAGAATTTAATAGTTGAGAGTGATAAGAAGAAGTAGGAGAGAGAAGAGATACAACACAAATATTTCAATTAATTCGACACTTTAGACTACATCTATGGTAAGACAAAATAGAGAAGCCTTTTTTATACTAGAAGGGAGAAATACTACAAGCTCTCACTCTCTATTTAGTAAAAAAAAAAATTACAAAATACTTGAATGCATCTCAATTGTGTGTTGAAAATACTCATCTAGAATATTAAAGTAACATTAAGGGCATGCGGTGGTGCTAAGATGTATGATAATATGTAAATCACAAGTGATTATATATGGCGATAACAATTGCAGTATGTTGAGAACTTGGAGATAATTAAGTGTTGGGTGAAAGGCAAAAGATTGTAAAATGGCTTATTTGTGGTTTAAATATTAGGAGCAATTGGGATACAAAAAAAAACATGTGTTGAAAAATGATAGGAAATATTGCTAGAGTGATTGTTTCTACATGTAGGGCATGCCCATCTGATAAATCTTGATTTTTTTTACTAGTTGTCAATGATTGTAAATTCTTTTGGACAGATTAACACAATTTCTGGTAATTTGATGCATGAATCTAATTGTGATTGAGGAATGTCATTGATAGATATGTTCGGTTTCTTCAAGAATATCTGATGAACTTAAATATGAGTAGATGTAGGTAGCATACATCTAATGATCTGATAAGTTTTTCGCAATTTTACCGATTGTTGTTTAATATTTTTCATCCTCCCTCCCTATCGTTCATTTCTTATACTTTATTAGTTTCCCCCTTGACACTCTAGCCAACATTCACTATAAGAAAATCGTGACAAAATTTTGCTATTTTAGAAGGATTGGAAAAATTATTGCAATTCTCACTCTCCATGAGTAAATAAAATTACAAATTTGTTGAGTTCATCTAGATGAGAGTGTGCTAGAATATTCATTTACAGTATGAATGACGATAAATTAATAATCATCATCTTGGCTTGTGATAATAATGACAGGTTAATGATGTGCAATCCACTAGTGAATTTAAATTGAGAACTTGGAGATAATCAATGTCAAGTAGAAGGCATAAGATAGTCAAATGGTTGACTGATGGTTTGATCATTGAGATCAATGATCATACACATAAGAAATGTATTGCTATATAATATGAAATCTTCTTAGTTTCCATTTTTATGTATATGATATAGCTATGTTACACATCTTGATTGGTTAGACTAGGTGACAATGGTTATGGGTACATCAGGACAAAATAACATATTATTAGGCATGAATCTTGTTATGGTTGAAAAATATCATGGATGAATATGTTGAACGGTATTCCTATTTGTATCTTTTGAGTGATTTGAAGAGTTTTAAATTGAGTAAATTTGGGAGATTATCCTTCAATGATTATATAAATCTTCTACTATATGTTCAATCATTTTGAATTTAGCTAAATATTAGTAGATCAATTGAGCTAAAATTAAAATTTTCATCAACACATGTATCACTCTAAGCAAGTGCTTGAAATGAGACATTTTAATGGTGAAGTTCTTAGCTTTAATTTTGCCCTATTCCATAGAAAATTTCACCTTACAAACTTTGGGGTGAGCACAAATGAAATTATCTATAACATTGGTAGGAAAATCAAAGTTTTAATATCCTACACTAACCTTGCAATTTTCCAAGAATATGATTTTGATGATAGAGATTTTAAATACAAATTGGTGTTATTAATCTTGCTATTCACAATGGAAAATAGCTAGTAATTAACTAAAATTTATATGATTTTATGGTGATTTGATAAACTTAACCATAAATAAGTAATCGGCATTGAATAATTAGAAATACCTTAACAATGTTATTATTGTGCGAGCTATTAAAGTCAAACCCATTTAATCTAAATGTGACGTTATGTCAGCATAAAAAATCTCTCAAAGTAGAAGTCATGGAAATCAAGATGTTGTTGATTTTATTTTTGAAATAACTGCAATAATTTTTTTTTTAAATTAAGAGAATTTAATTTTCCAATCAATAATATCAAAGGCTAATTTTGACTCTATTGATAGTAGAACTTTTTTTCCTATTAATAAAACTTTGATCTTAAAAAAATTAAAATGAAAAGCAAATTTATGATAAAAACAAGAACTTAAATTTTGCTTTAATTTATTTGATTTAAATTGAATCACAATTAATTATCTTCAATGCTTCTTATATTTTGATAGGTTAGTGTGTGTGTGTGTGTGTTTGTGTGTTGTGTGATGAAAGCTTTATTGCGATAGAATGATAACCTAACACCTTAACATTGCATAAAGATCAAACACACACATGTACAAATAAAAGAAAAGTACCAGGAGGGGACACCAGGATTTTTATCTAGAAAAATAAAAAAAGATAAAAAAAAGCTAAAAGGCCTAACCCAGTTAAAATTAATCCACTATAAGATTATAAGTTCATAAGTCTACTCTTCTTCTAAATTTGATAAAATAGAATTACAATGTTTATAATCATATATATATATATATACAATTGTCATCTTGGTTTAATAGTCATAATAATGGTATAACAAATATATTTGTTGGTGATAATAGTAATAGTGGGTTGCAAATGTTGTAATTGATTGCTAAAAAGGCAGTATTTACATAAAGATTGAAGTCAATGGCTACGATAGTGTCAGTTGATCATAAATGCCATAGTTGGAAGTCATAATAGTAATTGACTAAATAGTTATAGTTAATCACATAGGTTGTGTTTGATAGCTGCAGTGACGTCAGTTGGCCAGAAAGGCTGCCATAGTTGAAGTCTTTAATGACAGCAGTTGATCACATAGGTCATAATGAAAGGCTTTAATGACAGCAGTTCATCCCATAGGTCGTAGTGGAAGATTGTAATGACAATAATTGATCACTTAGTGCATAGTGGAAGGATGTAATGATAACATTTGACCACGAAGGCTATAGTGGGAGAATGCAATGACACATTTGTTCACATAGGCCATAACGAAATGTTGCGATGATAACAGTTGGCCACATAGGTCATAATTAGAGGTTGCAATGATAGCAGTTGATCATATTGGTCATAGTGGATGACTGTAATGATAGCATTTGGCCACAAAGGCCATAGTGGGAAGCTGCAAAGATATCAATTAGCCACAATGGTCGTAGTAGAAAGCTGCAATAGTAACTAGCCACATGGACCATAATAGATCATTACAAGAGTGTCAATTTGCCACAGAGACTACAGTGGAAGGTTGCAATGAGAGCGGTCAGCCAAATAGACATGGTGGAAAGCAAAAATACTGGTCACATAGGTCATAGTGGGTCATTGCAAGAGCATCAGTTGGTCATAAAAGTCTCAATTGAAATTTTTAATAACGTCACTTGGCCACATGGGCCTTAGTTTGTGCGACATGAATTGGTGGTTGCAAACCTTCTCTTGAATCTTGTTATTTTATTCTAGAGATAACACTTATTGGCATGCGACGTATAGAAAATTTCAGAAGTTTGGAGAAAGTCTCCACATTCTTAATTCATCGAGCATAAGCAGTTATCATCGAGATTTATTGACAGATTTGTAATGTACCATTATAAGTTACACTGTATTTGGTATACTCTGTTACATTGTATTCAGGATACTTCGTAACGTGGTATTGGGGGATACATCATTACATAATAGAGTTTACCGACGATAGCAAGTAGGGGGGTGGCCAGAGATGGTTAATAGCTGTCGACGAACGGTGATCTATGATCGTCGAAGACTATAGAAGCCGGAAGATATCGTTAAGTTTTCAGCCCAGAACGACACTAGAATTTGACTAATTCTCAGAAAAGGTCTATTTATAGGCTCCAAGAGTGGGAGGGGGCATTTTGGTCATTCAACCAATAGCTCCTATCACTTCCTCATCAAATCGTCCACATTAATTCCTTTTGATTATA